TATTCTTCCAGTTTATTTTAAGACAGATGCAAGTGTTATTCTAATTTTACACAAGGGAGAACAGTGACAGAGACAAATCAGGTCACTTAACGAAGCGTCCATGGAAACCCTGACAGCGTAGTCCCAGGTTCAAACTTTGTTCACAAAGCAAATATATTTATTTGGTGTTTATCTCTGTCTTTATCCTAGGAGACCTGAGCAGCTCAACAGGTACGTTTGGAAATTGCTGCTTCTCCTTATTCTAGGCTTCAGCAACTGAACTGATGCACCCAGCCGGGCCAGGCAGAGCCACGGCAGTCACAGGTTCTAAAACACAAGTATGTTTTAAACAAGGACGCATCACCAAGTCCATTGGGGCATAGCTTTTTACAGAGGGTCCAAGCAACGTTTATATCCACCGACCTGGGGAGAGACACACGCATACACCTAGTGCCTCCGGAAGTCATGCCTGTAAACTGTTTGGTTTTCTCTAGCAGCAAATCAAGATCAGCGTTTACTTCAGAGAGCTGTTGCAAGGAGTGCGTAATGTTAGCAGAAGGCTTCGAGCATGATACGTGCCTAGTGTTATTAAATGTGTGACAGATGTGCCTGCAGAGAACTCACTAATTCTAATTTATATTCCTGTTAGTCTAGAAATATTAGCATATAATTGTTGGTTTCTAAATATCCTCGCAAACTTTTTTTAAACTGAAAAACTGCGTCAGCATTTCTTTTGGAGTATCGGATGAAGTCTGTTCTCCTGTATGCCCCTCAAGTAATGTGTTACAATAATCTCAGATACCTAACAGGAAAAGTTAGGGCCTCAGCAAGAATGCTTTCTGCAGGCCTTCAGGTAGGAGCTGTGACATTTCTTCTCAATAAAGCTAAATGAAGAAACCTTCAAGGTGACAAAGCATTTCAGAACGAACCATTCTAAAAATGAAAAACAGAATCGATGCATGTGATACACAAACATACTGTGTGGCAACAATAAATGTATTTCAAAATTGTGTTGTAGTGCCTATCATGGAAGAACAGGCCAAGTGGAGAAACACCCAAGGGTAGGGGGTACCATAGCTGCATTGTTAGCTGTAAAGGCAGTCTGCTATAAAGAAGTCCAAAGCAATGCATGTATCTTCTTTTCCTAAAAAATATGCTAGTTGAAGGAACACTCAACTTCCTCCCTTCTGATGTGTGTTCTTTCTCCTGGAAGTGTAGTGATCAGTTCATTCGCCATAATATCAAAGCCTGGAAGTACTAACACCCTAACTAGCTGTGCAAAAAAGACTTGCAAAAATGAATACATCCATCTTAGAGACAGAAACAGCTCACATGCACAAACACTGCCTCCCTAGCGAGAATAGCAGAAGACCACATGTTGTTCTGTACAATGACATACGGGAACCAGAAATTTATCGTATGTTTCCTCAAACCGTAGCTCATCTTGAGGGGTAAAATCTTTTATCACCTTAAATCTCTAACCCTGCCTCTTTAGCCTCTGATGCCTAGAAAGCCTGACAAAGGAAAATCTTATTTTATCAGAAAGAAATAAGAAGCATGTGCAAAGAAAGCACAGCAGTATTTCTGCCAATGCTGCTTCACATAAGCCATAAAATAAACGGAAGTTATATATATCAGTTTTATACTTTTGATCCAACACTGAGCCTCAGTAGAACAGAGATACTGGATTTATGCTACATATTAAACATACATGGATAGTATATTGAATACTACAATACATCAAGGACAACATGTGTTAAGCAATGTGTGTTCCATGTATCACGCAAGACTACATCTATGGGACTAATGCAGGGTATTCGTGCTACTCTGTCACAGTAAAGCTGTTAGCATAAATGAGATCATCTCCTAATGTCACAGACACCATAATGCTAAAAGGTTTAATAGGCTATTTGGCAGGAGGCAGAGACAATAGATTCCAAATTGCTACAGTTTGGACACTTGACATTTTCCCCTTCCTTACCAATGTTCTTATCTTTCCCCACAGAAGCATGTGTGCTGGAGAGAGCGTGCTGTCAGTCTATAGGTTTCCAGTTATGCTGGCGTGCAACAGCCCTATTTGACAAATAAATTTATTTCCCAGGAATATTTTAATCTGTTGCTATTAAAAATTTAATTACATACAACTTTAAGGCACTAATTAACATGTAATAATTACATGCTCTGACTATCCTCCACATCCGTCATGTAGAAAACATAGCATAATAAATGAAAGTGGGTACACAAAGCAAATGCATGTCACGGCCTCACTCTACGGAAGGTATTCCCACTGCACTTAACATCTCTTTCCGTAACATTTCTGAAATGAACAAGCAGAACACTCTGCCTAGAAAATAAATTGCTTAAAACCCAAATTTTGTATCTTGACAAGTTGCTATTGCAAAAAAGTTAAAATTCATTTAGCATTGATCTATGGGCCCACAATTCTACCTCCAGTCCTGCTGACACTTTAAGGTCTATAAAAGAGAAAGGACATCTGAATAGAACTGTGAAGACACATTGCATATGCTGAAACAGCTGAAAAGAAACAGAAAAAAGGGAACAAGAAAGCAGTCAATCAGATAAAGGCAATGTAAATACTGTGTTTTTATGAAAACTGAGAGGGATCAGACAGTTTTTCCGTATCTTTCACAATTAATAGGGCAGAGCACTGTTCCCACTTCTCTACTCCCCCAAGAACGCTTATCTAATACGTTTTTTATGCCGCTGTATGTTTCATCTGAGTGACGAGAGCACGAGAAGAAAGCTCCCATTTCTAGGCACCCCATGTTATTCTCTCCAGCGTTCATGAGAGTAAAAAGATGGTTGAACATGTTTGCAAAATATGACTAAGCAAGAAAACTCCTTCCTGACGTACCTTCACCATTTTACCTACCCCAGCAGCTATTTACTTGCAGTTAACAGGCCTTCTGCAAGGCTTTATAAGGCTATTTACTATAGACGTTTGCTTCAGGCAAGTCACTACTTCTGAAGTGAAGCCATATCTGGAACAAGGGATTTTTTTCTCTCCTGCCCTGGCCGTTACCTTCTGCAGTCCTGCAGTGCTTCTCTTCCCCTGCTACTAGTGCTGCAAAGCCACTCCTTCCTACAAGCAGTCTCCAGGTTTCAGTTCTCACACATGGCAACGGGTGACTGTCAGTTCGATGTGGTACTTGCTGTTTTATAAATTACTTTAAGAAGCTCAGCCTAGAAGGTGTTTCCTAAGAGCTGCATGTAAGGCAGTATTCAGGTAATAGACAAAAGCAAATGACGCCCAGGCCCACTAATTCTAGACTCCGCACTTGATATTCTTGGGCGCCATCTGCCGGCACTTTATTGGTTTTTTACACCTATAAAGACATTAAATGCCTTGGTAAGTCAAAGCTGAATGTTTCCTTCTGAGATGCTAGTAAACTTTTTCTCTTTTTCCAGATAAAGAAGTAAGCTCACCCACAACTTCCAGCAAAGACTGGGAACACAGGTCTCTCCAGCCCTTCTCCACTGCCGCGCGCAGCAGCTGCAGGTGGGGCCAAGAAAGCCCCCTCAGCACAGGTCACAGCACCTCCCACAGCTAGAGAGATTCTGGGTAGCACCCTGGCCTCTCAGTATGACCAGCCGGTCTGAAGCCAGCCACCCTCTTTCTTGCACGCTTGCACTAGAGGACAAAAGTCGGTATTGCTAATCTCCACGTTCAAAAACTGTGATAGACTGCAAAACCTACCAGATTAAAAACAAAACAAAACACGTCAGTACACCTTTTCTGGTCTTTCACTGTGAGTGCTACGTGCATACAGGAACTGTAGTGCTACCAACTTACGGAATAGGGAGAGTATGTGACTGACCGACGCTGAGCCCCTGAAAAAATGCAAATCAAATTCCCCATTTATTTTTCAGTAAGATGCAGTTATGTATAAAGCTAATATCTCTGAAGAACAACTAATATTATATTCTACCACCCACTCATCAGAACAGCTGCTACCCAGTGGCCATGAGTGTATCACACCAGCTCCAACATTAGCTTTGACCTTTTCAGCTCTTACATGTGTTCTGGCCATAGCAGAGGTGGGTAGTGCAACTGCATCAGGGCTCAGAGCCCACGAAAGTCCAGGCTTTGGCTAGTTAAATGAGAGAAGCTGATGGTAAGCAGTAGGGGCCAAACTGGAAGCCCCATTTCCTTTCTTGCACCAGGGTTTAGGACAACTGCACTACAACTACTGTTTCCCTGGAGGCCCTCTGCTGCTTCCGGAGCTCCAAGGCCCACACACAGGGATGGGAAGACAGTTGCCATGGAGTCTCTTCTCTCTTTAGAAGAAGCTTTAGACATTTTTCACTCTCCAGTCCCTAGGCCTGGAGAGAGGAGTCAAAACTCACTTTTCAGAGGAGGAAGCAGAGGAAAACATGGGCAGAGCTGACAGAGGCTGCTGCTTCCTCTTCCCATCAGAACAACTACTCCGGCTTAGAAAGCAGGAGAAAGTTGCATCCATCACCTACAGAAGCTCCAGTTCACGTCTCCAGCCTGGCAGCTGGACTGAAGACCTCTACCTTTGCATGCTAACTCTCAAGCATGTTATTCAAATAATATTTTCTGGTTTGCATTGCCTTATGCCATTGCTCCAATGTCTCTGTCTACCTCGCAAGCCTTTACTCCAGGTAGTTCTAAGCAATAGCCTGAAGCTTCCTAACCAACAGCAAGTCGTCACAGCAGCTGAACATGGTCTTTAGTCATATTATCAAATACTACAATAGACTGTGCCTATTTATACTGCTGTTATTAATCTACCATATGTCTAACATATTTAGACAACAGTTGATCCTAAGTGTCAGTCTTGACTATGAATATGCATCTAAGTCAGAGGTCATTCTGACCAGCAGTAGAGATGGTGACTCACCTTCTTAACAGAGGCTAAAAGCCTATATTGTGCGAAGACCTGCACTCAAAACTATGACTCTCCATTCCTCTGCAGCTCAGAAACACATTATGTGAGATTTCAGTTCATGCCTATTCCTAGTTTAGACATATCCTCCCTTTACATACAACGGTACAATACACTACATTCTGGAGGCAACGAACTGTTCTTTGTACAGGTCTCTGCCGTTCAAAACCCAACAGAATCAACACCTGTAAGAGTTAGATATTTCCATTAGGCTCAAGAGGAGTAAGGCATTATTCACACGTGACAAAGAAAATCTGAATTTATAAATGTATGAATCAAGAAGGGAATTTTCAGAAGCGTTTTAGACACGAGAAGACTTGAAAAGCTGTCCCTCTTCAAACAAAACTTTTGTCACAAGTAGGCTCTGGAATGAGGAAGAAATTCAGCTCTAAAGTTCTCTGCCAGTGACAAACAGTTTGGAACCAGTAGCTAATGAAAAATACGACCACGTTCCTACAGCCACAGCTATGAAGACAAATAAGTATACTCACTAAAAGGAAATTAGAAGTATCTTTAATAGCTAGGCTATTAAACTACTGAAGGATTAATACCCTGTCAAACGAGTTTTTTTTCAGAAGGATCAACCCTAAGAATAGCTAAAACCACCACTGTAAGTATCTCAATAGAAAGTGGATTTAGACATGTGCAACTAATGAGGGATGTGTAAATCCTTAAGCATAAGAATATTTATGCCCATACTTGGTGCTGAAGGGAAACGCTGAATATAACCTCGCTATTCAGATATTCCATGAACAGCTGCCAATTCCTGATTGTACTTCAAGTCCCAGTCTTGAATACAACTGTTGGGATTCAAATTCATGCAGCATTACTTGTCTGGGAGTCTAATTAAAGATACAGACCTGCCGCAAATATGGGGAGAGCAATACTGGTTCAATTGTGCATGACATAACATGGTGATTGTGCATCACTCATGTTCACATATAGAAAACATTTAGCAAATCACTAGTCCTCTTTTTAGTCTTCTGTTCAATCCCATTTCAAATATCTCATATGAAAGTTTGTTTTTCCCATATGACAGTTTGCAAATAATATTCAACTTGCCCCTTCTCTCTTCTCCTTCTTCGCTTCCACCCAAGTCTGCTCTTTCAGCTTCTCTTTTTGCATTTTCTCTTCAGCGCAGTCATCTTTTTCCTCCTTACATGCAGAACATGCTCCTTCTCCCTTCTTCCTCCTCTTGAGCCACCCATTCTGTCAGTGATGGAAAGGAAAACAAAATAAAAGTGATTAGTTATGTATTTGATTATGTGAAAGTTACTTTTTATGGAATAATCCCCCACATTCATTGAACAAAACTGCAGCTCTTCATCAAATATGAGATCCCAGATGCTCTGCCAAAGGGCATTAAACACCAAGTAGGAAAAGTGCCCTAGATGCCAAGCACAGAATCACCACCCCTTTGGCCAGCCTTTGTCTCCTGTTCTTCCCGTAGCACTCTCGTTATAGAGTTTCTTTATACTCCCTTCCAAATACCTTGTAACTAACTTTCTTCGCTTCTGCCTCTTTTCTGCTTACCTCACCACTTCCTATCCTGATCTATTGAAATCTACTTACTCCTCTTAAGGTGCTGAATTCTGCTTCTCATCCCAAAGTATTCTCTCTGCTGGGACTGATACAGGAGGAAATTAGCCAACTAACCTTTTCAAGAGATGGACTTCAAACGAGGAGACAAGGTATATTTCGCAGCGTAAAAACTTGAATGAGTATCAGTTCTGACGCAGTGGCAAAACCACTTCCATCAGCATATGGCAGTAGCCTTTGAGACTGCTACATGGCCCAGCCTAAACAGTGTTAACAAGTCTGCTTTCTGTTGCTGCCATCTCTCTCTTCTTGGAATGGAAAATATAACATACAGGAGAAGCTTATGATTTCTGCTACCATGCTGCACAAGAGCGCCAGTCGTGAATGAGACTTCATTTGTATGGTTCTATATACAGAAAAAAAAGGACAGTCAGTGCTCCAAGGAATTTGCAGTCTAAGACAGGAGACAACATACAGAAACTACAAGGGAAACAAGGAGATAATATTGGCCAACATGGCAAGTATCAGTCACACAGTTATGACCAAGCTTTTTGTAGACACCACAGTAAGAATTCGTGTCAGAACAACCCAAAAATGACCAGGAAAACAAATAGGTTGATCCAAAAAATACAATTGATAGCAATTAAGAAATAAAATGTAAAAGTCAACAGACTTTGACTGCAATGCAATTTTTTAAAGATAAAATGCTTCTTCTTCATATGGACTGTGGCAGACATAACAAAGGTTTTTTTGCACAAACCAGCTAACAGAGAACAACAGCAAAGTATATCTGAAGGAAAAACTGGATTCTCTGTAAGGTGTGATAAAAACAAGAGTTCAGCCAATCAGTATGAATTGATTGGAAATTGTACTTGCAAAGACAGAATGCAATAAAGTCTACATAACGTTTGCATTTTGTTACTGATGAAATAAAGAAGTAACAGCAGTCAAGACAAATGACAATGAGGAGGAAATATTTAGAACTCAGATGCTTTTTTCCCCAGTACAGTTAAGTTTAAAGAAATTTCAGTAACAAGTTCTTGTATTCAACAGCTTTGCTAATGATATTAATATTGTAAATTCTTCCATAGAAACAGAGATGCAAAAGATTAGGTTTTTTTTTAATTAATTTATCTACTCATTAAGGAGGATAACTTCAGAAAGACATGTGATGATCAGAGACACTGTCTTATCCGACTTTGTGAGCCAGTTACCGAAAATATGGCAAAAGCCCCAAGACACATACCAGGACCCTCAGAGAGCCATGGGGAGAAGATGCCCCATGAGTACTGACAGTGGCTTCTAGAGGTTGCTTCCTATTGCTCCCCTGATTGGATGCAAGGCAGAGTGGCCACGCAGCTGGGTCCCAGGGAGACTGGAAATGTTGGTGTCAGCATCTGCTGCTCTCTTTCTGTTCCCAAGAGCCAGGGGTTCTCATTCCCTCCCAGTCCCTGTGCCACAACAGCCCTGCATTGGGCTAGATTGGATGACTCACGCTAAGTTTACCAGGGAAAAGCACCTAAATGACTCCTCAAGAATGCCTTCCCAGTATACAGAAGGATATTAACACCATCCAACAGCAGGCACCTCGTTTACTCCTCTCATCTCCTTCAAAAGCCAAAGGGAAGGAAGGAAGCAACACCAGATGTTGAATTTAGAAAGACACTTAATTGAAGTGCTTTGAAGCAACCTCTGGTAGCTTTTCTCTCCATCGTCTATGCAGCAAAAATGGCAAACCTTCTCCAAGACACATACCAATAGTCTCCCTCCTCTCTCCCTCTACCCTTTTTATAGCCCCTGGGGAACCTCTCTTGTCCCTCTCCTTACAACTCCCTTCCATGCCTTGCTGTGGCCGACTCAGTCTGTCGCCTGAAGCAACTGAAGGTCAGGAGAAGGGAAGAGAAGAGAGATCCGGCCCAGTTCATGTGCCGTTGGCACAGCACTGCATCCTGACCCTGGTACGCGTGATGGCTACGATGACAGTCTCGCGAAATTAACCTCACAGTTCAGCAAGCTGTCTGAGTTAGGTGCCCCGAGTTAGGTGTAACCTCCTTAAAAGTTGCTGGGTACTAGCGGCCACCTTACAGTTCTGTTCAAGCACAGATGAAATAACCTAAAGCTCAAGAGTTTCAAACAAGTAGATGTTTAGCTCCTCTGCAAGCCCAGTTCATATTCACCAAGCAGGCACCTTTGCTACACTTTCATTCCAGTTCTAATTGAAATTAAAAGTACAAAGTAACTGGCAATTAATCCTGAAAATCAAAACGTTCCCCTCTGGAAGTTTCAGCTGATTAAGATGTCTCTTTCTCCTTTGCTCTTTGTGTTGTGTGTTTTAGAATTCAGAAGAGTAACTGGAATGAAAGCATCTAGCAGTGACCTTTCTAGATGTGCTTGACTATTTGTGCTTTGCTTTCTTTTTATCTCAGCTGTCTATCTTTTGATATTTCTACAATATCTGGTAAAATTAAACTGTAGCAATGTGTGGTGCCTTTCAGTGCTACTGCAATATAAAAAAATTAATCTTAGCAAGATATCCGGCAGAGATTTATTTTCTAATATTGTTTTATGAAAAAAAAATCCCTTTAGAAAAATAGCGTTCTGCTAATAACATTTTGCGTTCCTACAGTATAAGGAACACTTGTGGTTGCCCCCCCCACCCCAAAGATGGTTTATGATCAAAATGATTGTAATTGACTACTGGCTGCCCTGCTGACTACAGCAGGGCCGACTGTGCAGTCTTTCCTGCCTTTGAGCTAAGTATCACTTTGAACATAGGGGATGGAGTCCTCTGTATCGATGCTTCAAAGAGCTTAGGTCCAGTCTTGTCGAAAAAAAATTAACCAGGGACTGCAGGCCTAAGCGACTGTAGCTGCTATGGCAGTTCAGTCTTTGTCTGCTGGTTTGTTATTTCATTCAAACTTCTGAAGTAGAAACAGAGTCAGTTTGAGGTTCCAGTGACATCAGAGGTTAATGGTGAGGTACCGAAAAGTGATGTGACCTTTTACATTTCACATCAATGCAAGTTTCATTCAAATGAACTTACTCCAGCTCATCAAATCTGTCTTCAGCAGCTGAGTACTTGCTGTCTCCTACATTGTATTTATAGCATTTTTTTATTTAGTTGTAACATTATTTTGTTTAGTTTTTTGGACTACATTTATTTCTGTTGAGCATAAAGTTGTAAACAGAAGTTCAAGCTTGACCGAACCTGACTGTAAAAGCTTAGAAAAATACTAAATCATTTTTGTTTGCTGTGTTTTGCAATCTTCACTCGAGAGATACTTACTTGCACTTGAAGCTATCCACTAGAACAGCCCGAGGGAATACCACTGCAGCAAGACACACCAGTCTGGAATCTATAGCTTACTGGATTCAGTGTGAAGCTTTACCTGATGAAGTCTGGAATGCTGTGAAGAGAGAGAAGATTTCATCAATTCGTTTGGAGTAAAGCTCTCAGGATTTCCGAATGTATCTGGAATTTTCAGAACCATCTGCCAAACAAGCCTAAGATAGAAATAATTGTGCTTGGGAACACTCAGTTCATGTGTCAGGCATATTCACCCATGCCTCTCCAAAGCCTTTTTCTGACTAAGGGCTTCAGCAGTGATGCAAATCAGGTGGTTGTGTGTACAGCTTTCGGAAACGGGAGGCTCTAGAGAAGGAAAAGGCATAAGGACAAACATCCTTAGTGTGACTCATAGATTTCAATGGCATTACAGCAGGATGAAAATAGACCACATTTACCATATTAGGTCACCATGCTAATATCCTCAATCCTGTGTCAGTGAAAGATTGCTTCTTATCATTCTCACATACCTCACAGCAGAGATTTATGGTTGAACCATGCAAAAGGTTATCTGCATTTGTGCTTCTCCTTCTCTCAGTGAAACTTGCTGGAGTACTCCCAGAAAATACCATCTCAGAATAAACTCTGCAAATAGTGGAGTTGCATCAGCTGGTATAATGAAAGCACGACCAGGCATGTGATGTTCACGGTTCTATAGGCTGGAAGTCTGCATACTGAGGCTGCCTGCATACTCCAGGCTAGACTGGAGTAACAGAAGACCTACTGTTTGTTCATAAAGCGTGTAAGTACCTAAAGGAAGATGTAAATAGAACTGGGATGCACAAAATTCAGAATTTTAGCTCAAGAGATTCCATTCACTTACTGCCTGAACTTAAAAAGCCTCTATCTTTTCCTACTTTAAGTGCTGAATTCCCCTTCTGTGCTTGATGAGGCTGGCACTGAGCTGGCAGGACCAAACCCCGAAAGCCTGTGCTTTGCTACTCGGCTCTCCTGAAACCCCAGCCCATGCTAGAGCGTGCTAGCACACACAACGTCCTGCCATCTGCAAAATGCAGTTTTGGCTGCTTACCTTCTTGAAGCAGCAGGTAGCGATCAGAGCGTTTACTCATAATTTGTGGTCCAGCTGGTAAGGGTACTCACCTGGAAGGTGGACCTTTGATGGGTTTTGTATTTTATCTAATAAATAAAGAATGAAAAAAAGGGAAGAATTCCATTAAGTAGGAAACAGAGCTTACGATTTCCTCCTTCCAGGTACCCGTCCTGGGCAGTAGGAACTAACCTCACAATGTTTCCTTTCATTCTGATATCTTTAATCTCCAATTCTTTTCTGCACAAGAGGTCAAAAATATGGCACCTGTCTTGTAAGAGCTCATCTTCTTTATTAAATCACGGTATAAACCTATGGCTGACCATTGTGAGGTTTGGATTTAAAGGCAGCAAGCGGAACACTCTCATCAACCAGAGATACGAATAAAGTCAGCTACTCTGAGCTTGGCAACAAAAAATTGCATCAGACCATGATGCAGATCTGTAAACTTTGTTCATTCAAGTACTTTTAAACCCCACAACTGCTTTATTATAATTCCATTTCAACCAGATGTTTTTTCCAGGTCAAAATCTGTCAGACACTGAGAAACTACAAATTCTGAATTTGATCATTAAATAAAAAGAAAGACAGAAAAATGAATGTTGCCGGTTTCCAATGTGTTTCAGAACCTCTCTTACCAGCCACGTGATAGATAAAACAGCTCTCTCACTTCTGTCTTTGAAAAATGGGTAACATCTTCAAAGTAAAAAATATCTGTGACTGGGGACAAAGTTTTGTAAGGAATTTAGAGACAGATTTTTAAACTTGCTTAGTGTTAACAGATGTCTCTAGCTTTTTGAAATTCCACATTTTTTAAAATATGTAACTTTAGGTGTTCGAATAATTCTAAAAATTTGGCTTTTAGGGAGACTTGCGGTAAAAGTACATTGTTATCTCGCCAAATAGAATTTTAATGCATACAAGATTTTTTTTTTTGTGATGAAGAAAATTCTTTAGCCTGCTGAGTAAAAAATGAGAGTCTCAATCTTTAAATCCAAATGGATGCTTAGCAACTGGTCTTTGGAGTGGGAGGCACATCAAGTTCTTCTGAAGGAAAATAAGGCATATAAGGCAACTTACTGAAGTCCTTCCTCTGGAGAAAACTGTACTGAACAGTTTTGTCAGCCCTCAAAAGTATACATTTAATTTTGCACTTGTACTGTTTTTCTTAGGTAGCATTATTTCTAAAACTTCTGGGAAATGCTTAATACCGAACAGCTAGCAAGTAAACATTCCAGCTAAAGAAGCGCATACCTCAGGCCTGCCATTTGATCACATATCCTTGCTAGAAACCATTTGTGCACAATAAAAGTGACTAAAAGGAAAAAATAACAAAACTTTATTGTTCTAGCCTATCAGTGTCTTCTTCGATTTAACAAGCACTTTCATTTTTCAGCTGCTGCAAATGTTAAACAAGAACCATGAAATCACTCTGGGAAGTATCACAGTTACACCTCCACTGTTTTCTTGTATGCTCTCAGCTCTTATGCGTAAGAATGCCAGTGATCTTTTCATTCACCGTTTCCATCCTTTTGGTCACAATCTGATGTACTCTACACTGTTAACCAAGTTACAATATATATAGTGCATTTGAGATCAGATGCTCACAGCCATCTTATCTTCTAAACAGCATGACTAACTTATCAATGATCTTTTGTAACTCTTCGAACTATGTCAGGAATTGCACTAGTAAAATTAATGAACACCCACCAGCATAAAACAGAATTGAGAGAACGGAGCCTGAACTTCTAGAAAGCACACTAACATGCGTGATAAATAACCAATTTTCCAATTGCATGGATTGTCTTTTTTTTTTTTTTTTTTTAATGAGGGAGCATCACTACTTCTAAGTGTTCATATCTACTTTCTTTCCCCACCATACAAAATCATTCCTCCTGATCCCTTGTTTATGCCCGGAACTCGATTCTACTTCAAGGTTTAACTTTACACCACAAACCGGTCCAAAATCCTATAATTTCATAACTGAGCTATATAAGTGGGAAGAGAAATGGCTATTAATCGCTGTATTTTATCCAACTCGGGAGCAAGATCCCCTGCAGAATCCAACTGCTCTTCCTTTCATAATCAAAAGACACAGAAGCCTTTGGCCACTCTGCTGAAGTCTAGCTGGGTTAAGAAAAAGACCAGGTTCCAGGAATAAATGCTCTGGTGCTGTTAGAGAAATAACAGACTCTGGACAGCTAAAACAATCTTAATCTGGAAAATAAACATTTACTGTTCCCTTTATTGCCTTATAAAATTAAGCAGTCCCCCAAGCAT